ATTCACTTTTATTAAATCCACATGCACAGACCTGTACCTTGTGCTGTGGCTGGTCACAAGTTTGCCCTGACTTAAAGAAATTACTTCCCTCTTTCTACTTTCCTTGCTTTCAAAGAAAAGCAAGATGCTGGCCCTCACCATAGTCCTGTGCAGACTCCTCTTCCTCCTCATAAGCAGCTCTCCTGGTGTCCAAGATCAGCTTGATGTTCACAATCACAGTCACAAGCAGGAAGAGGACAGCACCTGTCTGCAATGCAGGATGCTTTGTGTTACCAACTTGTAAGTCACAACCCCAAAATCAGGCCACCTCCTTGGCAGAGGCCGCAGGGCACCCCAAGGAGGTCTTGCAAGGGATCATAAGCATCTGTCATTTCCCCCGTTTTCTTCTGGGAAAAGGCAAAGACAGAGAAATACTGGTGACCAAGTTTTCGGGTGGAACACTTTCATTACCTGGAAAGCACTGAGCTCTTGATACATGAGAATTAACCCGCTTCCAATGTGTCCCTGCTTCCAGATTGATGAGCAGATTGCTGATAAAATATCGCGTCAAGGTTGAGGGTCTCTGCATGTGACGAGTTTGGTAATTCAGAATTACAGCTCCCACCATAAAATTAATCTCTGCCTCTCCTGCAGCATCACTACTCTCATCTCTCCCTCTGCAACCAGAGGACGTATCCAGAGTAGTCAGAGGGCGAGGAGATGCCGTTTGACTAAAGCAAGGCAAAGGCAAAAAGCTAAGGTCTGACTTCAGGAAACCGCACTACCACAGGCTGCAGAGAACAGCCCGCAGCCTCACAGTCTGCAGCAAACCAAGGCAACCCACGCGGATGCTGACACAGAGAGTTATGGTCCAGGGGCTCCGGAGCATTCCATGGGAACCCCCAACATGAGCATCACCGTTTCTCATGGCCCTGTTGCTCCCAGAGCAAGAGGAGGTATAAAAAACGACAACATTTCTACAAGCACCTCTACTTACTAAAACACATCTTGTTTTTCTCTTCCTCAATTTCAGTCTCTTTCCTGGTATTTGGACCCAGCGTAAAGCAGAAATTGCTCCATGCTAAAAGGAGCTCTTCTGAGACAGAGCCACTCAGGAAAACTTGGGCAACCACCATCCCTTGTTGGGCAACAATCCGCCTGCAGATGTAAGCTGCAAGAGCACATCTGGCCAAAGCCATGAGGATGGTGTTAGAGCTGCAGTGCTGGCTAGGGATGCAGGATGGCCTGGGTTGAAAGACAATGCCTCAGCTGAAGCAATTTCTCTTTATTTGACCCAAGGAACTTTGTAGCCCCGGGCCCAGGTGCTTCTTCATGGTGGAAAGGTGACAGCAGCATGTGATGACTGCGGAGCTTCACACAAGGACAAAGTCCCTGCCCACCAGCCACAGCCCCGTGCCGGGACTGAGGAACAGCTCTAGCAGAGAGCCCAAAAGCTGCCCTGGACAGTCATGGAGTGAGGGAAGGCTTTGCCGTTGGATTTAAGACGCAAAGCCCCAAGCAGCCATTACCCTCAAAGCTAACACTGCTGCAGGGCTCCCTTACCAGCCTCCACACCAGGAAGGACCGTCCAGCTCACCGCAGAGCCACCATGGAGGCCCAAATCTGATTGCTAAATAATGCTGACAGATTCATCCCATGGCCCAAAAGCTGTGGCCCTTTGGCCCAGACGTGCTATGGACATACCAGGTGTTTTCCACACAAGCTCAGGGTCCTACTAACCTCTCAGAGCATCCCAAGACTCAGTGTGGAGGTGCCACAGCAACCAAGGGAGAGGAGAGGAGAGGTTGGTAGAGGCTCCTTCTAGCCTGGTCCCCCCACAAGGGGATGTTGAGACAGGTCTTGAGTGGTTTTGAGACTCTTTCCTTGCCCCTCACCCCCCTAACAGCTTGCTTCCTAAAAACGTGCCTTTCTCTAGAACCCTTGATTCTCTGAGGTGTGGTACAGGGTTGAGATCACACACAGGCCTGCCCTTGTTGAGAAGCGCTAAAATGATTCCCCCTCTACCTGGCCAGCTGTTGCCTCAAAGCTACATGTTGCTCTGCCAAGAGCCAAAAGGATTCAAGAAGTAACGGAGGAAGAGGAAAAAACAGCAATAAGACAAGAGATGGACAGGTAGAAAACGTGATAATAAATAAATAAAAAAACCCCAAACAACAAACAGCATTTTGGCTTGTTGAGTTGCTGTTGACTTAGTGAGTATGAGCACCTTTTGAAATCTGTGCATAGAAAGCTTTTAATTAGGCAAGAACAGAGTCTTGGGCTTACAGCGGGGAACAGGCTGTACCTGGTGGCCAGCAACAAGGCCACCTTATCAACTCACCCAGACCTTCCACCCTGGTCAGTCCTGGAGAGGCAGGGAAGCAGTCCCACAGCCCAGGTGACCAGAGCGAACAAGGCAGCACCAAGCAGGACCAGCAGCTGAGTCTAGCAAGACTGACTCAGTCAGAGCTGCTGACAGAGGTCCAGCTGCTCTAGACCTGGCTACTCCATAGTTACAGCTCTAGTTTACATATTTTAAGCTCAATTTTCATCTGTGTTTTAAGCCACAGCAGCGCCATTAAAGAGAGATGACAGCAGACAGACTCTAGCCCATTGCCCCCAGCGCAATGAGCAACGCCTGACTGAATGACCAGGCCTGTTCCCAAGCCCTGAGCACTCCAGAGCACGCAGGACTGAGCGGTCTCCTTCTCCAGGGAGCCCTCGTGAGCCTTCGTCCTCCCAGACACACACAAAACCCTCCCCTGCTCCCTCCCACAGAAACCAACTGCCAGATTTCACCGAGCTCTGCTCATCTCGGGAACGGCCCCTTTTCTGCAGCTTGTTGCCACGGGACCAAACCCGCCCTGTCCTTACACCCCCAGACACCCCCCAGGATGCTGGCTCCGCTGAGGATTAGCCGTTTTACAGCACAAGCGACCAGGCCTGCGGCTTTGGCAGACGCCAGCTGCTTCTGGGGCATGAGATCCCATTACTCAGCCCTATTTTCCCTGTCGACCTATTATTGTACCTTGTATCAGGATTGGTTTGCAAAACAAATGAGGCAGGGTCGGTTTCCCACCACAGGCTGAGCCCTGCTGCACTTGGCACAGGTCTGGAACCAGGAGAGGAGTAATCAGTTAGGTTTCTAGCTGAAAGACTCCCAGGGATGCCTGGATAATTGTTTCTCCTGCCATAGCCACCCAACAGGTCCGTTTGAGCTGGAAGGAGCTGACAGACGTGGCAAGCCCCTTCACACATGGGCAGAAAGCCACTGGATGCAGCTTTCTGGGGGACAAGTGATGCTCCCCCAGCATGTTAGGTCACCCAGGACTGCCAGTAGACCCACCGCCACTGCAGCTGCTCCATAAGCTTGTAAACCCTATAGATTATCCTCCCTAATCCACCACAGGCCTGCGGGTGACTCACCTGGCACAGCTTCCGCAGCGCACGCTGGTTCATCAGCTTGTACTTCCAGGCGAGGTACCAGCTGCGCTTCTTGTGGGGCTTGACGGCGGGGTTGGGTTTCCACTCGTCCATAGTCACAGGGGCTGGCACAGGGGCAGCCGCGTGGGGCTGGGGTCAGGACGCGCTGGGCTCCGCTCTCGTGTCCATCGGAGCTCCCTGCCTGGACAGGACAGGCGCAGGGTGAAGGAGGGAAGCGCCTTCAAACCCTGTCCTCAGCAAAGACAGGGCCTGGAACAAGCAATGGCCATGAATGGCACTCATGTACCACAAGCAAAAGTTTCACAGAGCTTCCACGGAGCCAGGCCGTGCTGGAGGACTGCAAGCAGGGTGATGGAAGGCCCTCAAAACAGTGGACCAGTGACGACCTCTGCTCCAAACCAACCTCTTCGCGAGGCTGCCGTGGTGCACTAGGCCCACTCCCACTCTCTGGAACGGCAGCCAAGAGGCATGAACCGTGCTAGGCC